AAGAAACAATGAGGGAAATGAATAGCATACCTCTGGAGTCTGCCACCAGGGTCTGAGGGTAGGCAAATGGTTCCCAGAGGAAACATGCCTGAATTGAGATATAAAAGATGAATAAAAGACCAGTGAAGGGAAGACTTTTTCCATTGTGAAAAGCAGTAGTTAACAAATAAAGAACGGAGGGCCTTGGTGGCAGAAGGAGTTAAATCTCAGCACTACCAAGCTATCACACCAGCCACTGCAATATGAGATCCATTCCAGGCCTGGGAGCTGACCCACATGGCCCGGCAGACCTCTCCTGTCTCCCTCTGCGCCCCTCAGCAGACTATCTCAGTTGCTCTGCTTGTTATGCTCCCCACTCTGCTTATGGTGAATCTTCTCAAGCCTCCCCACCCCATCTCTGGCCTACACCCCAGCTCTTAAATGCATAAATAAATAAAAGTTAATCTGTTAAAACAAATAAAGGAGGGAGCTATTGAGGTCAACCTCACAGCATTGTTATGAGAATGAAATTAAATAGTATATGCAATGCATTTAGCATGGGGCTTGCCATTTCCACTCTTCCATCCATTCATTGTGAATGTGAATGTTCCAGACACCTTTTTTTATACTTCTCTATCACACCATTTTCTCTTTTCCCCAATATCTGGGGTCCTCGCCTACTTTGGGAGCTAATTAGATTACTGTCATCTATATTGACATTCCAATTCTAAACATTTTACATTCACTATTTAATGTAATCATTAAAGTTTTGGTGGGGAAGAACTGTTATTACTCCCATTTTATAAATGAAGAAACTGAAAAAGAAACCAGAACAATAGCTAAAAAATTGCAGAACAGGATTCAAAGTCAAGTTTGATTTCTAGCCATTACCCCTATAGTGCCTCAGATTGCTACTTACCTCTTGCAGTTTTATTTGCCAATCAAGTGACAATCTAACTTAGGACAAGAGCCTGATTTTATACCTTTTTTTGTAAAACAAGTTACAATTTATTGAGCACGTACTATGTGGCACCTATGTGGCACCTACTTTACTTGCATTATCTCTAATCCTCATAACAAATTTATATTTTATGTGTTTTTACCCCCATTTTATAGATTAGAAAACTAACTAGTTTGGCCAAGGGAGTGGAGACAAGACAAGAATCCTGATATACAATTAAGCCTAGTATTGACTGAGATGATGGTCAGTGCAGGGGAGGCATCACAAGACTGAGTCACACAAAGGGGATGGGGAGGAGAAGCTAGCACAGCAACTGACACAGCCATGAAATCAAGGTCAAAACCCATATCCCCGATGCCCCTGGGATGCCTGAATATCTGCAGGAGTTTGCAGCAGATAACTGACTGTTGGGGGCTGTGTCTGAAGCTCAGACCCAAGTGGTGAAAGATAAGGACATGGAGATGAAGCCCATCAGGAATCTCAGATTCTATTTAGAGTCAACAAATCTAGGCTCACGGGGAATGAGCCCCTCCCAGGGAGAGGCTGTCTATATCAGGACAATCTCTGCACCAGCAGAGTCTCTTGTACCAGGACAGTCTCTGCACCAGTCAGTCTCTGCCCACCTGACTATGCAGGTGCTTCTTTCCACCCACTTTCTCCCTCTGCAGGGCAGCAGCCTCCTGCCTGGTGATCTGTCCCACACCAAGACTTCTCTGCACTGACCTCCCTCAACGGAGGCCGCTCTCCTAAGACCACCCGCCTGCAACCACTCAAGTCTCTCTCCCTGCAAACCTGTCCCTTTCAGGGCAGCTCTTCCTGCCTGCTTGTGCCTATTCAAGTGTCTCTTCCTCTACTGTCTCTTTCTAATAAACTTCCTCTTTAAATATAACTGAGTCTTTCTCTTGTGGATCATCTCACTTTGTGCTGCTGAAAGGGGAGCTCTGGTGAAACCTTTCCTAGAGTGAACCTGTAACAGTGTGGTCCCGAACTCCAAAAGATGACATCAGTCAATAATATATTTTTTTCTTTTTAAATATTTGATTTATTTATGCATACAGAACTGGAGTACAGGCCAGAGGTGCAGGGGCGGTGAGAGGATTCACCAGAAACAGAGTAGGGGACAGAACAGGCAGTTTGACAAAGCACACTGCTGAGGGGAGCAGAGGGTGAGGCAGGAGAGATCTGCTGGGCCTTGTGGGTCAGCTCCCAGGCGGGGATCGAACTAACACTGAAACAGCCACAGCTTGGTTTAGCTTTGCAGTGCAGCACTCCAGCCAAGGGAGGGCTCAACATTTGTTTTCTTTTTAAAGATTTATTTTCTTTATGCAATAAAGAATTTGGATATGTGGAGGGTGTGGGGAAGAGAATAAGAGGATTCACCAGAGACAGAGTGGGGAGCAGAACAGGCAGATCTACTGCTGAGGGGAGCAGAGGGAGAGACAGGAGGGGTCTGTTGGGCCTTAGTTCCCTGGCCAGGGATGAACTCTAGCTGCAGTGGTTGCAGATAGCCTATTGTGCTGAGACTTGTGTCACCAGGGAGGCCCTAACATTTGTATTTGATAGATGGAATGCCTTGGCTGCCTCCCTCTGGCATGACATTAAACAATGGCAGTGAATATGGGGGAGAGGCAATCGTTGGCGAGGTAGCCATCTCTTCTTTCCAACTGTGTGAAAATAAAAATTTAGAGTTCACAATAAGCAGTCAAAAAGGTTATTGTGAAATCTCTGTGTTCACTCACTGAACATAGGCTACTATGAGCAAAGTCCTTCTGGGAAGTTTTGTAGTGGATGGGCAGATAATGTTAATGCAGAGGGAATGTATTCTATGTGCCAGGCATTACTGTCAGTGCTTAATATGAATTAACTCATATAATTTCCAATAAAAACTGCCATTACCCCATATAACAGTTGAAGAAAAGAAAGTACAGAAAGGTTTAAGGATTCGTCCCAAGAATCCTTCAACAGGCAAGTAGTGGCGTTAGGGACACCTGGCACTGTGATTTCAGACCTTGAGAGTCTCCAAGTAACTGTCAGAGATTCCAGCACAAAAACTGGCGAAACACTGGTATAATGGACAAAAATTTCCCTGGATAGAAAAGTTAGTTTCCAAGTGCCTGCTGCCTGCCTGCTCGCACGTCTCCATCCCAACTTTCTCCTTTCCGGTCTCCCCACCCACTTCCACCCGGCAACCGAAGCCCAGAAAGTAGGGGAAAGGTCGAGGGTGGATTAGGCTCCTCCCTTGCCGCGGGGTCAGTGCCTTGCAAAGCCGTGGGAACTTCCGCGTCGGGCCATCCCCTCCCATCCCCCACCCGCTTGACCCCGGCGCGCGGAACCGCCGGTTCTGGAGTTCACTGCTGCCAGGGTCACTTTGCCCCATTCCCGACCTCCACCGTGGGAGGACGCAAGTGAAGCCACCACGGCCGTCCTTTCCACGGTGCGGTGACCTTCCCGAGTATCCCCGGACTTTGCCAAGGTCCGACTTCAGGTGCTGTTAGAACAGAACGGCTACACTTCTTTAGGGGGATACAGGGGCTTAGAAAGGCTTCCAGCCCCGCAAATCTGGGCATAAGGTTGGATCGAGACCTCCCTGCTCTTGGGTTCCATCTGAAAGCATTAAAAGCCATCTAGGCTACATTTTAGACGAGGAAACAGGATCAGTGCGTGCAATGACTGGTCCCTGGGCAGCCAGGCGCAGTCACGGGGCCAGGTCTTTTTGGCCTTAATGTGTTGGCTATATTTGATTTCGTCAGGCGTTGTCACCCATCACAAAGCACCCCATAGTTCAGCACCACATTCCCTCGGGCTCCTCCCCGTTTTCAACCCTCTGTCTCCTCCCTCTCCCTCCATTTCATATATTCTTTTTTATTTTTATTATTTCCAGTTCAGTACTGAAAATGTTATTTTTCACAATATATAAGCTGGAATAGTGATGTAATAATTCTACCCACTAATTAATCTTTCATAGATACATCTTCTATCTCTGTGGAAGTCCATGGGGATTACAACTGAGGTGATGCACAAAATGAAGAATGATGTAAAAAAATGTATATATTAAAATTTTTTAATGTAAATTCAACTTAAACCACCTTTGTATGTATCTAAGGCATACACAACGTATATTATCATTGATATGTGGGCAGCGTGGTAAACATTTCATATATTCTTAAATGACGTGACAAGACTCTCTTAGAAAACAGAATTTAGCATGACGTAAAGGGCCACATCAAGTTCGGATATCGGTGGCGAATTATAGCCCGGGACTTGGAATGGAGGGGTAGTTTCTGGAGTCGCGGTACCTCTAAGAAATGAGACAAAACGGGCTTTTTTACTCCCGGGAATGAAATGGAATGGGATCTGAGATCCTCTAACAACGGGCATTGCTGGTCGATCCGATGAAGCCATTCTCCGCTGCCCGGGCTTCATCCGATAGTAGGGTCCGGATGGGGCACCGGCGGGGTGAACGCCCCCCCCCCAACCCCGCTCCTTGTGTGTTCGCCACCGCCCTGGAGCTGGAGGAAACGCGCTTTCTGCTGCCTTCCAAAGTTTCCGACGGCAGGAGTGGGCAGTGGAAGTTAGCCACACGCCTCTTCCCGCTGTCCGATCTCAATGACTCACAGCCGCAAGGTGTATTTTGAAATGTCGTAGCCGTGACGCGCGGTCACTCCGCTCGGACCCGGGCCGCCCTCGCTTGGGGGCGGGGCC